ATAGGAAAAACCTGCACGCGCCATAACTTAAAAGAACGTGTCAGTGGAATGAATTAAATCTCTATCATTTTGCATACATTCTTGAGAACAGCAAAAATTACTTAGTACAAACATTCTAGTATATAATCCGTGTCTCAAACAACATCGACCGGACCGCTCCTACAGAGACACTCTATTAAGTTTCAAAAAGGCTGATTGGTTCAGATGAGGAGTTTCTAGTAAAGCCATCAATAGACGAGTCTTACAGTGTATTAGATCAACTACTTCAGTATAAAGAATATCAATGTTGACAAAAAAGAGAAAATTATCTTGCCGAAATTAAAATCTTCCTGTACATTTCACACGAAAGGCTTTAAGAAACATTCCGTCCATAGGCTTCGTTTTATGGGCAACTGGGTTTATGATGTCTACTTTTCGGACTGAATGGCAACAGAAGTAAGACTCCAGCAGGTTTAAAGAATTGAAGTGTGTGATCAACAAAAGTGTTTAGTCTAAACAAGGTTGTGACATTCCAAACATGTCTGTATTTTTAAGAAATATACTTTACAAAAGCAATGGAGGACTCTTTGCCGCGTTTCCAAAAGTTCATAGAAACCGGCCAGGCTGAATGATCGTGCATTGAGAGAGTACTCCAAAGTTCTACATTTCCGGTTTAAATAACTCCTTTTATCGTTCTCTCCCCCCGGTTTCCGTTTCAGACACAACTACTAACTTTTATTTAAATCACCTTACATTGGCCCTTTTTCTTTTGTCACGCAAAAAAGGGTTCGCCGATTTGCTAAGTGTTATTGTAACAACATCGATATAAAGTTAGTTTTTTCATCTTTTTAAATAGGCGATATGTTTGGTGTGAAAGATCCTATCCCTCGTGGGCTCCGTACGTGTGTGCTTTACAAGTTTTTATGTGCGGACTCTAATGCATGCTATGTCGGCGAAACCCCTCGATATAACTTCTCCTGTAAACATCAAAACCTTTCAAAACTGTATTCAAGGTTTCTAAAAACTACTCATCTTCATTTATTTGATGTTCAGGTATTGATTTTCCAGACGAAGCTGTTGTGCTGGCGGTTTGGGTTCACATAGATACGGAACTTTCTTTGAACTAACGACGTACAGGTTTAGAACAGTTTACCTGTTGTTCCTGTTCAGCTGCACTCAGAACGTCTTACGACATCTAGATATCATATGTCAGACATTAGGAAAGTTAAATTCGAGTCGTGATAGTGGTGTGTCTATTCTCTATCACTATTCCGTGGCGTGCTGTTTTCTCATTCATTCGGAAAACTGCCTTCTCACTCAGTTTTTAAAGGATACGAAGTACTTCGTTATCAGCAAGGTAGGTTCTAAGATTTCATTCGTTTACAAACTCTAGTTTTGGTGAGATGAGGTAATATAAGCCGAGTTAAAGTGGGTGGAGAGAGGTTATGGAAAATCCTTTCTAAGCCTATAAAAAATGTTAGAATTTTAGTTTTATTTCCTTCTTTTAATGCTTATGAAACAGTTAACGAATTTGAGACCTCTTATGAAAAGCCTGTTCCTTTTCAGCCTTCATTACACGTTCGTGATGAGACGATGAAAAGATGTTTCATTACTGAGTACAACATTTTCCAACTTGATCCCCTCTTGCCATCTTTGATATCATACTTACTCACATCGACAATCTTTTACAAGTATGTGGAAATTTTATAATTTTAGCTTCTTTAGATACTTATAAAACGATTAAGGCAATTGAGATCCCTTGTATAAAGGCTTTTGCTTATTCAGAGTATATGAAAAGAATGTTGTATTGTTGAAAATAGAAGAAATTTATTCCACAAAGAGAGAGGGAGACTGAATTATCAAACTTCTGGATATGTATTGCACCCAAAAAACGGAACATGAACATGAGGCAAAGTAAAAAAGAAAGGTAACAAATATAATTCTGTTGCTATGGTCACCGACAATCTGAATTGGTGATTAAGCACGATAAAATTGTCAACTTTATTTCTACAT